AATAATAATAATAATAATAATTATAATAAAAAATCCTATTAGAAACAATAAGGAAGCACTGAGAGTTTGAGTATTACACTCTTCAAGTATGCTGTTCGGATTTTTTTTAAATCTGTGAATATACATATATAAAAAAAACCTTAAAAGTGCGACCAAGGGCTTCTGCTTAAAGATAAGTATTTCAAGGACTACTTCAAAATACTGTATCACGACTGTGCAGTTACTGTGTATGGCATGAGGCTTCCACTTCATACGCTTAGCCAAGTTAGCCAGCCTTACAGAAAGTTATTGTAAGTCAGGTTAGCACAAATGGTGAACCCAGACACTGAGCTGGGAAAGAGATCCACACGTTGTTGTTTTTTCTCTTGTTAAGGAAAGAAATCACTCTGAATGCATACATTTGGACATGGAATGTGAGCAGACTTCACAGTAAAAGTTTAGTGTTACAGGTTTGCTGTGGTACCATCATTCAAGGCTGTGCACTAGATTTAGCTTTGCTCATCTTAAGCTAACCACGCTCTCTTCTTCCTGACAGGTTTAGTACAGTAGTTCAAGCCACGATTTAAATTGCCCATTGGTATGCTCCAAATTTCTGTATTTTATTTATTTCTTTTGTACACTTTAAAGAATCTTAAGATTTGCATCCAAAGAGAACCATGCTACATAAAAATTATCCAGGATTCTCGCCAAAAAGAGTTCTTGAATAAAATCTAAAAAATACTATTGCAATGCATCTCGCAGAGAAAAAACGTTATTCTAAATGTAAACAAATTCACTCGGACACTTTAAAACTTCAGCGGAGTAGTTGCTGACTAATCTTTGCCACGCTTGCTCACTGAGAGCGCGGGAGGAGGGTGACGCAGCCAATTCCTGCCGCCATCATCTGGGGGGTGACAAGAACCGTTCCAAGTAGCCGGTGATGGCATCCCAGTGCTTCCACAAAAAGGCCATGAAAACCACTATAAATAAAGTGCTGAACGTCCTATTGCGAGTCTTCATGAGGGGCACGACGCAGTTGGACACAGTGGAGACGAAGACAAGGAGGACAGCCATAACAGCCAGGAGGATGTTGATGAACTTCCCCAGCAGGTTCCTGGCCGTGGCGTTCTCCAGCCCCTCCAGCTGCACCACTTGCTGCTGCTGCTGCTGCAGCTCCATCTTGGAGATGCGGGTCTGGCACGCTTCCAGTGCCTCCTGTGGGCAAGAACACACCACTGGGTTGCTAGCACCCCACAAGTCCGCCCCAGTGGCGGACAGTCCACGGCTCTTACCTCACCGACTAGGCCAGACCAGGGCCACCCTCCTCGTGCCTTACGCACCTCCTGCAGGACTTGAGTCACTACACGGATTTCATGCCCTGCAGCAGGAGCAAGGGAAGCTGCGCGTTTCATGTGACTGATGGTGAGGAGCCCCTTGTTAACTAGGTATTGCTGTTTGTAACACACCATGTCATCTCATTTACACCAGAGAGGCTGAACAGGGATGACAGGCTGGGTAGAAGTCCGGCTTTGTTAAAACACACACTTCAGCTGCCACTTTGCACTGCCAGCTGCCTGTCCCTGCATGTGGCACGATGGTCACCTGGGACCTTACCATCCTCCCTGCCTTGCAGCCGGACCCCAAGGGAGGAGGATGCAACAACCCTCAGCAATCAGACAGCATTTCTGTCTGTCCAGAAAGGGAGGGCAACCCAGTGAGCTGCTCATTTCAGCTTTGGCTTCAAGAGACCACTGAGGGTACAAAGGTGCTGTGTCCAGCCATCACTCTTCCTCCTCCTCTTCCTTCTGGGATGCGCATTCCCAGAGCTTCCCATTTCCATCACTTTCCTTGCAGTGGCTTGTGCTTGTCCAACCCTTCCATGAGCCCATTCAATTCTCTCATCAACCTGGCAGAAAGCTAAGTCAACAAAAATAACTAACCAAAAAGGCTTGGCCGCATTCTGCTTGCTTAGTGAGCTGAATGAGCTCAGGGAAAGGTCTGAGGAGCACCAGGGCTGGGACTGGCATCGCAGGAGGAAGGTGGTCTCCTCCAGACTGCAGCAAGCTGTGGCATTGGCATAGCTCCAGGTGACACTGCAAGGGCTGGAGAGAGGAGATATCTAGGAGGAGGGTAAGAAGCATGAGATTTACGCAACTGCCTCTAGGAAGAGGTAAAGCAAAAGCATGTGTAAGGAGAAGACTGTCCTGTACAAAACAACATCTGTGAAGCACTTGGGGGTGATTGTTTACTGACCTTTTCAGCATGCTGAACCTCAGGTGGACCAATCCAACCCGCAGTACAACACTGGTGACATGCAGCGGGTGGGTTAGGGGGAAGGAGGGGGGGTTTTAAGGCAATTAATGGAATAAGACATTTCCTGCTCTCGGAAATACAGAGTTACAATTTTTTCCATCAATTCTCCCTCAGAGTTGCTTTTCTCAGACCTAAAGGCCAACTTCGGGTAACATCTAGAGGTCTGCAGCAAGCAGCGGTCTCTCTCAGACTGATCACTGAAATAGGAACCATGGACTCCTTGCCTACAGACTTAGCTCCGTCACTGTTTCTCTGCAGCATCAGAACTCTGCAGCTCTTACCGAGTTTTTCATGCAAGAAAACGCTTACCTTGTCCCCAGAAATGCTAAGGAATAGTCTGTCCCAATTTGCAACTTTACACCAAAAGCACTGAACCATAAAATGAAGATTAAAAAAAGCTATTGAGAAATCCCCCCTTCAGTTTAAGTTTTCAACTTTACTTCTTCCTGCCGTGTTAAATTAGAGAGGAGAACAAAACCTGAGTATCGTAACATCCCCCCAAGGGACAGTCTCCTGTTTACTCTGTCGGAGGCCATGGCACCACTGTCCACAGACGCTGATGTATTTTAACCTTAAAGGTCACTTGCTACATTTCTCTGTCATTGCGTCATGTCTGTGGAGGTCAATGAAACGTGAGGGCTTCTCGTCAGTTATGGTCCCTGAAAGTAAAGGGCAAAACTGATCAGCCTCCTCTAACTGCAAGCAACCTGGAAGGATGCTGACGCAACCAGGCTTGCAGCTGGATCTGCAAGCGTGCCAGCAGCGCAGCCTGCGCTGTCTCCAGAGGAAATCACCTGCCTGAAGCTCCTCGGGGGGAGCAAAGAGGGAGAACTTTGACCTACAATTCTCTGCTCACACTATAAATATCTCACATCAGCAATCAAAACTGAGATGCCTGCTAAACTAGCACAAGTATTTAAAATGGATGATAGATCTGTTTCTGAATAGGCCTTTCTTGATAAGGTTTAGTGGCTGCTCAGATAATTTCCCAGGTCTTTTGCTCTGTGGAAGGTTCTCCAACTCCATAATCTCTGTTTCCATAGCTTTGGTCTTTTACATACTGAAAGAAACTTCGCTTTTAAAAATACCTCCTTATTTGGGCAAAACCAACAGAAAGAATTGTTTCCTGACTCAATGCAGTGGATACACAAAGCCATTTTCCCTTAGACATGCGTGACCATTGCTCTGAAATTAGTGACACAGAACCACACCCTAGGGTCAGTTTACTGGGAACGCTACTGTAAAAAAAGTGTCCAGGTCACGGCCCATCAATTTCTAATACCCTACAAAACCCTGTACAAAAGGTGGATGCAGGCTTCCACTTTGCGACAACTTATTTAAAAGCTCTGCTCCAGACCAAGCATCAGGCTCCCTCTGCAGATGAACCTGCCTGCTGGTGCACGGGCACAGCTCTTCTTTACAAAAGAAGTTACTCGGAGAGGTCAGGGATGGAATAAAGGCCCTTCCAGAACCCGTCAATATGCAGTTTAGCTATAAAGCTACAAGGATTAAAACCAAATATTGAGTCACAGAAATCTTTCAAAAGCGAAGGAGTTACAGAAGGAGCAGGTGAAAGACAGGACTCGAGTGTCCTTGTTTCTGTCACCCACCTGGATGTCCCGGGCTCGCTCGTAAGACTGATAGGCAATCTTCTCCTCCATGCTGGCCAGCTCCTGTTTTAAATTGAGGATCTCGTTCTGGTGGAGCTCTGTCAGGTCATTTAGCTGCTCTTCGAGTCTTTCACATCTAGAAATGATATACATGGTACAGTAGCTTTAATGAGAAGAGGACAGCAAAATTACCCAGTAACAATTGAGCAATGATCATCATAGACTTTCTACTGAAAACTAGTGTGGCTACCTCAGTCAATACAAAAGCATGCATTACAATGGAAGGCCCTCTCACTGGGAATTAAGAAAATCCTTTCTACCAGGTAAGGTAATGTTAATCCTGTTTCTATCCTGGGGAAAAACTCACAGAGTGGCTAAATGACAACTGTCAAGTGATGCAAGAAATCAAGGACAGAATTAAAACAGAACAAGTTATTCCCCAAACTCTTATTTAAACCAAACCATTCTCTTCTAATACCATAAGCTCTTAAGCATTTTCATCTACACTCGGAACAGTAGCGTGCATAAAAATGACACAGAAATTAAACGTGACTGATGCCTCAGAGAACATGATGATCCTGTCTGATCTTTACACGTGAGGTCACATGAGTATCTTTGATTTATTTTTTCTTTATCTCTCATGAATGATTCAGCTTAACTAGCAAAGATCATCATATTGTTTATAAGGAGGGCACATGAATCACTAACCTGCAGGCTTATTTTTTCAGTTTGCTACTGGTGAATGGAGTGGGAGCAGTCCTGAGAAAGAAGGCTGCCCAAAAAATGAGTTACAACAATTCTGATATACCGAGTTTTGTTTCTCATTGAGGGAGTTTTAAACTGACTTCAACAATAGCTCCATAATGTTATTTTACTGCTTTCAAAATACGTTAAGGATACTTTGTATTTGTCTGTAGCACTTCATTTTTGGAATTTCAAGTCCAAATTTGCAAGCAACATGCTTCAATACGCTTTTAAAATCCGGCAAGTATTTTTATTACTTCCAACAGGTAAACATACACAGAGAGCTAGGCCACAGCCCAAGGGTCGGGAGCAGCGAGTTGGTCACCACCCATCCCATTCCATCCCATCATCTTCTGCCACGCTTCCCACTGGTTTCTCATTCTGGGTTCATTACGAGCGACAACTCTGATGGTAACCAAGGTATGGGTACAGCTATTGTGGCCGTCGGGGTTTTTCCACTCTAATTTCCACTGACTGTCTTTTCATGGTATCAGCACAGAATATAGCTCTTATCATCTGACCCTTGATACTAATAACTGAGAAATTTCTAAGGAATTCAACACAGAGATAATTCCTTGTTTTAACTTCAGTTCCCCTCTGACTCCATCTGAATTTAGTTTACACACACGCACGCATAAAATGAATAAACAATATTTATCTAGAATGAAGAATTTAATTACGAGTTCTGAAACTAAGATAAAAATCCCGCTTCCGTTTTCTTGTTTTTCCACCAAGATTTTTGGTGCTTCACAAGCTAAATATTCAGAAACTGTTGGCACAAGCCAGCCTTTAAAATGGTCTTGATGTTTTGTTTTTAATTGAAAAGTCTGAAGAAAATTTTCATTTACATTCCCAATGCAATATTGCTTTAAACTAAGAAGGAGTCAGACATAGCACGACAATTTCCAACAACGAAACACATGTGGTCAACCAGAAGTGAGACTAAGGCAACCAGCAGCTGACAGGGCTCAGCCCAGAAAGGTGCCACAAAGCTGCGCAACCGAGGCAGGACACATAAGAGAACTGGTTTCCCAAGAAAGACAAGCTGCAAACATGGGAAAAGCCATGTGAAGACTGGCTAATGAAGGAGCCCAGATAATTAATACTGCCATTTCTTCCCACCCAACTTAAAAAAAAAAACAAACAAACAAATTGCCAACAGCCAAGAAATCGCAACTAAACCCACTCTAAGTCCCAAAGGCAGCATTAATTACTTGAGATATATTCAGTTTATTAATGTATTACAAAATTCTCCAGTGGGTTTATTACACAAAAAGGGATTTAAGTACTTCTGAAAATATGATGTCTTTTAACCTCTTCCCACATAAACGCCCTTCATAAAACAGCTATTGCCAGGCAGCTTAAATCCTGTTCTCTAACAAGAAACAATTGTATTTTAATAACTTCAAAACTACCTCAATCTACAGGAAACATAAGGAAACCCTGCAAATCTGTACAGTTAAGAGTTTAAGCATAACATGATTAGCAAAGGGTTGGCTCCAATCCTCCCTGTCCTGAATGCAGGACTACCGGCTTGTTCCCAACCACACACTTCATTTCCCTGCTCGACCCCAGAGCTTTTGCAGTTTGCACCCAAGAATCATCTGCACTTTCAGAAACCGGCGTGTTAGGCAACTGCTGGAATTGGGTTATTAAAAAAAACCCAACAAAACAAACAACAAAAAACCCAACCTACCCAGACTTATTTTTGAAATTACACTTCCTCCATTTGTCTCCTTTTCACTTCTTGACCCATTATCTACAATTTAGAAAATGATTTTTTTTCCTGCTGTTTTCTCCTGGTGTTCAAATCTGAAAAGCTAAGAGGGGTTCATATGACTTACAAGGTCCAAAGCCAGGGTTTTCCTGTCAAAGGATGGTTCACATTTAACGCAGAGGTATTACAAAAACAAAAGGGATTGGACATCTGTCAAGAGGGTTAAGATTATACTCACACTTCCCTCTCTAACATACAAGTGCCAGTGTCTATGCAACAGACTCTAAACTTGTCTGTGAATATAACAGTGCCTGAACGATCAAACTCCACTATGTTTCAGGTATGGAAAATGCCTTATTAGAGTCTAAGAATTATTTTTTCACTAGCTACAATGTGAAATTTCCCCTTAAAATTACTAGCCTCTAGATTAAGAGGCTCCAGCCCCGAAACTCTTCTCTATGACAGACTAGTGCCAACTGTCACAATTATCTCCTCATCAGAGATGTTCATATGGAAGACACCCAGTATACTGCTGGGGTGCTTGGCTGAAGTAGGGGATATGGGAACGCTTCACTTAAAAAAGCTATGTCATATTTCCACACACTTTCTGAGGCTCACTGCTTGGGAATCAGAGAACTGATTTGAAAAGGCATTTTAAATAGCTGCAAAATACATGGCTAATACAGCATACGTAAGGGAGAGACATGATGATAAAGACATTTTATTTGTACTCAGTAAGTGCTCTGGCAAGTACAAAAACTGATCAAACTGATGCTAAAAGATCTTCACAGTATACAGTGAACGGAGTTTAATACTTCTCTTCAGGCATCTCTCAAGATGGACCTTTCTTTTTTATAGCTATGTCATAGAAAATCTCATCTGATCTTTATTTGTCATCCCAATACATTTTTATGCTACTGAACACACTGCTTTCAATAGCAGAATGCTAAAAGCAATATCTACTTGCAACATACTCCAAGTCTTCCATCTAGATGATACACGAGGGACAGAGCTTGCTCCCAAGGGAGCACGAGCTGCTCTCGGTGCCCACATCATGCTGTGCTTTCAGCTCTGAAGCTCCCCCAGCAGAAGACAGTCGCTTTGCAGGGACGTTTCAGAGCTGTCACAGCCGACCCAACACACTGCCTTTGCTCCCCCGCCACACTCCAGGAAGGCATCTTCAACCGTTCTAGACTTCAGAGGTTTAGCACATTTGATCTATTTTAAAATAAATCATGTGAACAGACTTAAGTCTAACAATAAGACTACAGCAAAATCAGATAAACGAAAGCACCAAAATCTAGCATTTTGGCTGACAGATTTCTCCTGACAGGAGTGTGGGAAACCTAAATGTCCTTTCCAAGGATGCCGGGCTTGGGAAGAAACCCAAACTCTCGGACTGGCCACACTCCAAATATGCGAGCTCATGATTTCACCACAT